TTCAACACAGGAATGTCCATTGATACGTTTTCACAAAGAGAAGCATACGATTTTATTTAAAATGCCTGTATTATTGGAGCATATCGTTCTTTCTGCAGCTGATTGAGGTCACAAGCTCAGGTGCTTCAGCGATTAAAATTCTTACTTTGGAGATTATGTTGATTAGGGAACATTTATTTTTCTCTTTCATAATTTCCCCTTTTTTCTCTTGAAGGCTTTAAGTGACGTGTTTTTAGTCCTCGTCTGAACCCCCACAAAACGTGGTCCCAATTATTTTTTCTGCAACATTTTTGGGACACATGATATCATAACATTGCTGAATGGAAAGAGCACGATTTGGTAAACATTTCAAAATGCCGATACAGTCTGCGTGCCGTGCATTATGAGCGACTTTGGACACACATATAGTGGTCAGGCTGTTTCCATTTCATCGTTACAGTTTTGGTTTTATTTAAAGATCCAACTCCATGATCTTAATGTCAACACAAAGAGAGCGGCTCAAATTCGCAAAAAGGAGGTTTGGAAACATTGATTGACAGCTTTCTTGATGGAAAGACTAACATGATATCATGCGCTGTATTTCAAATCCTTGTTTACATTGGTAATGTAATGTATCGTTGGTAATTCTACATTTGGTGGCATTCATTTCAAAATATGAGTTTTGATGCATAAGTCTAGTAATGTCATTGTATCTCTATGTGACATGTTTCCATTCTTTAATGTTCAAAAAGCTCTTTATTTTTCTCATACTGCCTGTGCTGCAGCACCTCTTTTCACCCTCTGTCTGAAACCAGAGCCCAGTCTGCTCAGATTGGTTAGCTGGCCGGCTCTGTTGTGATTGGTCAACTTCTTAGAGATGTCACGCCCCTTAGAGTATCAAGTACAATGTGTTGGAGCGCTAGCCAATAGAAGCGTGAGTGCTACATGTCACTATAGTAAACAAAGGAGTCCAATGGTGGCGTTTCAGGGGGGGGGGGGGGTGTGTGTCTGAGAGAAACACAAGATCAAATGAAACTGGTTTGGAAATGGGCCCAAAATGCCCAGCATGCAAGAGGACAGAAATGTGGTTTTAGTCTGTTGGCTGAAGTTAGCGCCTGTGAAATCGAAGCTACTGGAGTATGATTTATTGGCTACATGTGCCACCCTTTGTGTGGCAGCCGAAGCTGAAGGAAAAGGATCGCTCGTTTGAATCGATTTAGTTTGATGTCAGGACTGTGACAGATGCTTAAAATGATATTGTATTGCCGGCCTTCTCATGATTTCTTTAACACAAAGCCTCAACTTTTACTTATTACTTCAGTCGGAACCGCAGAAGTTGATTTTGAACACAAAACCAAAGTCATCAAAAATGTTTTCCACATAAAATCACTGCATTTCCCTTCAATCAAATATATTGATTCAATTTCTCATAATGTGACTTTCCTCGAAGCCCGAATATTATAAACGCTAGACTCAGCAGGAAGTTTTCTGATCTCATCACAGAGGAGGCAACAATAACTCCGGCATGTGAGGATATACAAAGTTGGTTTACCTGAATATGGAGCCACGATGGAAGAAAACTCTGCTGGAGAAAATAGATATAAAACGTACTACAACACAGTTCAGTCAGACAACTCACGTGTTTCTTAATATGTTTATTAGAAGCAGCATAATTTGAGTTTGGCGTCTAGGCTCGGGCCTCATCACTATCCCCCGAGCCTACAGGTGGAAGCTGGGGTGGTGGCAAGCAGTAGCAAACATGAAACACAGCAGCAGGAACATGAACGTAGCATTAGTAGTGAACACAGCAGTGGCAGCAGCAGCATAGCGAGGCAGAGGCAGGAAGACCCCCATGGCACTAAGTACAGATCGCGTTCACACCGGAATAAGTTCCTGAGGGAAGATAACGAAAGGAGGGTCAGGCCGATTGTCGAACCTCAGATTGAGGAGGAACAATGCGGATTCCGTCCTGGTCGTGGAACGATGGATCAGCTTTTTACTCTCGCAAGGATCTTGGAGGGGGCCTGGGAGTACGCTTATCCGGTCTACATGTGTTTTGTAGACTTGGAGAAGGCGTATGACCGAGTTCCCAGGGAGTTACTGTGGGAGGTGCTGCGGGAGTATGGGGTGAGGGGGTCTCTACTCAGGGCCATCCAATCTCTGTACTCCCAAAGCGAGAGCTGTGTCCGGGTCCTCTGCAGTAAGTCGGACCCATTTCCGGTGAGGGTTGGCCTCCGCCAGGGCTGCGCTTTGTCCCCAATCCTGTTTGTAATATACATGGATCGGATTTCGAGGCGTAGTCATGGGGGAGGGGGTCTGCAGTTCGGTGGACTAAGGATTGCACCACTGCTTTTTGCAGATGATGTGGTTCTAATGGCTTCATCGGTCTGCGACCTTCAGCACTCACTGGATCGGTTCGCAAGCGAGTGTGAAGCGGCTGGGATGAGGATCAGCACCTCCAAATCTGAGGCCATGGTTCTCAGCAGGAAACCGATGGACTGTCCACTTCAAGTAGGGAATGAGTCCTTACCCCAAGTGAAGGAGTTCAAGTATCTCGGGGTCTTGTTCTCGAGTGAGGGAACAATGGAGCGTGAGATGGGCCGGAGAATCGGAGCAGCGGGAGCGGTACTGCAGTCGCTTTACCGCACCGTTGTGACGAAAAGGGAGCTGAGCCAGAAGGCAAAGCTCTTTGTCTATCGGGCCATTTTCGTTCCTACCCTCACCTATGGTCATGAAGGATGGGTCATGACCGAAAGAACGAGATCGCGGATACAAGCGGCCGAGATGGGTTTTCTCCGCAGGGTGGTTGGTGTCTCCCTTAGGGATAAGGTGAGAAGTTCAGTCATCAGGGAGGGACTCGGAGTTGAGCCGCTCCTCCTTCGCGTCGAAAGGAGCCAGTTGAGGTGGTTCGGGCACCTAGTTAGGATGCCACCTGGGCGCCTCCCTAGGGAGGTGTTCCAGGCACGTCCAGCTGGGAAGAGACCAAGGGGTAGACCTAGGACCAGGTGGAGGGATTATATCTCTTCGCTGGCCTGGGAGCGCCTTGGGATCCCCCAGTCAGAGCTGGTTGATGTGGCCAGGGAAAATAAAGTTTGGAGCTCTCTGCTGGAACTGCTACCCCCGCGACCCGACCACGGATAAGCGGGAGAAGATGGATGGATGGGAAGATAACGCAAATGAAGCCGCTGACGTCACTTCTTCTTCTGCTTTGGGTTTACTGGCAGGCTGCAAACCACTTCACGGCGTAGCCTATACTGCCACCCGGAGTCCCCGGCCGGAAGTCCCCAGAGTTGGTGACTGGCTTCAGTAGAAGCTGCTGGGACTCCCAGCAGCTTCTACTGAAGCCTTCAGAGTAAATCGCCAGAACGCCGACACCTCCTCATCTCCACCGCTTCCATGTTTTTTTTTTGTGTTGTCATAAGTTATTCTCTCTCCGTTGGTGCGCGGGGCTAATGCTAATAATGCTAATGCCAGCAAATACAATGGCGGCTTCAAAACACTTTTCAGAGTTTTACGGGCGTGGTTTGCAATTTGCCCAGCCAATCAATTTTTTTCTCATACTGATATTCTGAACAATCTGTGCTGTTGTATTTGCTGTAAAGTGTCTCTACTGTAGGCTATTTTTATTATAGGTACAGCACTTTGACTCAACCAAAAATCGTTTATAAATGTGCTATATAAATAAAACTTGATTTGATTTGAATCAGAAATTGGTACTTTTTTCTCCCCAGGATAGTACCACCTCTCTAGCAGGCACTACAATTGGAGGTAACATTTCCCGGCACTAAGTACTCTTGAACGCAAAAATAAGGGGTACTAACGGAACTAAACGGGAAAAGTACGGGGAAAAGTACTCCGATGTGAACGCGCCTATTGGTGCTCGAGTTGACTGCCTGAACTAGCTTGCAGGCTTTGCCCCATATATTGAATTACAGGAGCCAATAACACAGTGAAAAAATTAAATACTGTACGATATAATGAAAGTCCTGCAGACACTTGAACGAAGAATGAACATTTGGCCTACATTTTCCTCATGTTTAGGTGTTTTTTTCATTTTAAAGTTATTATATTTCTAAAATGAATACTTGTACCTAGTTATGAGATATTGCCACAAAAAGATTTGCTTTACAATAATATTAAAATGTAGTTATTCAAAACTCATATGTATTACTTAAAGTGGACCTATCATGCTATATTGGAAACATATATTGTAAGGCCATACCTATATAAAACATGTCTGTGAAGTTTTTTGCTTAAAATACCAAACAGATCATCCATTGTAGCCATGCCTCATACTGCTCATACCCCTCTATTCCAGCCCTGTTAGACAAACGCGGATTTTGGGTCCTAAAAAAGAGGAGGCGGAGCTAATGCCTGATCAGAATTCTACCGGAGAAAAGGTTACATTCTGCTGTGATAAAACGCCATCCTGTTCTAAACCACATCAAGGATGATTTCTGAAGCAGTATGGAGCTCAAATGCTTTTTCTCTTGCGGGTTTATCACAAGGCGAGTTACTTTTTTTATTTCCTGCTTTTTAAACACAGGGTAGCATTACATTCACCAAAAGTATATTCTTGCAATTAAACTTCCTTTTTCATCAATATAACTTTTAATTTTTCTGGAAATATAATATAATATTCAATTATGTTACAGTATAGAATAACACAAACGTCCGTAGAAAGAAGCCAGACTACAGTCACATTGTTGGAGCAGCACAATAAGTTCAGTGACCTGTTCCTAACCTCTCTGCAGGAAAAGAGAGATATATGGAGGGAGAAGAGGGGAAACAAGGATTGAGAGCATACAAAGAGGAGAGAGATTTGTTGGATACAGGAGAAAGAGAGAAAACATGGAGAAAGGAGGTGTGAGAGTAATGAGAGCAAGGAGAGAGGAGGGGGGGGGCGCCTGTTTCCCCTCCTCTCCTCTCTCTCTGGGTTTAAGTCCTTTGAAGAGGAGGGAGGAGGACGCTCTGTACTCACATGCAGTCTGCACTGAGAGGAGCATTTAGTGGCCGAGACTCAGAGAGAGAGGATCTGAAACATGAACGACATCAAGCTCGCCCTGCTCGGGAGCCAAGGGGCCGGGAAGTCAGGTGAGAGGACTTTGTTTCAAACAGATACAGAAACATACTTTCTTTAGTCAACACACTTTAAATGTGGCAATCATAAGTTTTGTTTGTAACTTTCTGTTTGTGCAGTCAGTGTTTTTCAAATGATGCTTTTGGGGCATACTACTTACAGTGGTGTTATGTTAAAAGTATGCTCAACTCTAGTTCAATTTTACTTGAGTATTTCCATTTCATGATACCTTCTTATACATGAGTATAAAAAACATTGCACTTTAAATGGATACAGAAAAAATATGTTATTTGTGATGACGTTTTTGGTGCATTGCTAACTTTAATCAAGTACTGCACTTACGTCAAATGTTGAGGTATTTGTACTTTAATCAGTTACTTCCATTTCATGTTTCTTTCTGGCATTTAAACGTTATATTTGTTGATTTTTGTGTATCGTTAGTGTTTCTCAAATTATGATTTTGGTGCACAATAAGTCCGGTGATGTACTCAAGTAAAATAATCAACATTTTACTTGAGTATTTCCATTTCATGATACCTTCTAAATTATATTAATAAAACGTTGCACTTTAAAAAGAGGAAATGTGGTATTTGTGATGTTTTTGTTGCATTAATACTTTAATCAAGTACTGCACTTAAGTCAAATGTTGAGGTATTTGTACTTTATTAATTTACTTCCATTTCATGTTTCTTTCTGGCATTTCAACGTTATATTTGTTGCTTTTTCTGTACCGTGAGTGTTTTTGAAATTATGATTTTGGTGCGCAATAAGTCTGGTGATGTACTCAAGTTAAATGTTGATTATTTTACCGTTTTATCAGAGTTTCATCTTCTACTCCACACATTTGAAAGCCAATATCTCCCTTCTATTTCCATTCAACTGTATCATTTGTGATATTAGTTACTTTGCAGATTGAGCTAAATACCTAACCACTGTTTCTGTTTATGACATCACTAATCACTTCATCACGATCGATCAGTCAGGTAGTCTACCGTTAGAGGGGCTAAAATACAGATCAACTTGAGCTGAGCGTTAGCTAACATTTGCACAAAAACAAACGTTTATTGGTTTGATTTATTTAGATTTAACTGAAATAATAAGATGATTTATGCCTCCAGAGGACTCCTTTGAAAGACTTTTGTAAGATTATAACTTATCCTTCACAGAGGGGATTTAACGAATGGCAATGTAAAACAAACCCGCCCTACATCACGATTGATCAGAGTCAGTCTACCTTTAGAGCAGCGGTTCTCAAACTTTTTCTGTCAGGCCCCCCCTTTGGAGAAAAAAGAAAAGTCGGGCCCCCCAACACAAATAGTCAGGCTCAGTGGCGGCGCCAGAGATTTATTTTGGGGGTGCTGTGGGGTAGCTTGACGTTTCATAGAGGGTGTCCAAACATTTAGGGTTTCCCATTAATGTACCGGTCGCTACAGAGGAATGTTCTACTGCAACACTCCCCACGCAAATACACAATGTGACAGTTACAATGAAGGCTCGATAATCAGCTCACGTCATATAGGTGTAAGCAGGGGTCAAGTACTATTTTTTAGGTGGTGTGTGGACCTCACATAGGGGGGTCCGGGGGTCAAGCTCCCCCGGGAAGATTTTTAAATATTTAAGTTGAAAGCATCAATCTGGTGCACTTTAGCAAAATGAAGAGATCTATGGATACCTCTCTCAACACCCATTTGAAACAGAACTGGAAACAGATTTACTTTTTCTTTATGGATATTTTACAAATCACTCCCCTTTTAAACTTTATTCATTTTTTAATGTCATATAGTATTTCATACCTGTTTTTAATTTATTCTCTTGTTTTTTTATAACTATAATGATCATATAAACGTGTGCCTCGGAAATTATTGTTTACATTAATGATGCCCAAAACGTTTGAGACCCACTGAGATAACACTGAGAGAGTCCTTTAGTTCACTGTGAGTCTGACAGGAGAGGACTCTCCTCCACTTTGTTGTTGAAAAAACTCCTTATATCCGTTAGCTCGCTAGCACCAGAAGCTAACATCAACGATCTCCGGTACCGGTAACTCTCTCTCGCACGCACACAAAATGGCTCGTTCCACACACACACAGAGCCGAGCTTTAATGAAACAGAGACCCAGACGTAATAGTACTGCATCATATTATTTTCGAATCAATAACTTTTCAAAATATGATTTTTTAGGAGGCCTTGCTCAGAGGACCTCAGGGCCCGGGTTGTGCTGTGAGGGTGGATCAGGTCATTAATGTAGGCTGGGGCTTGGCCATGGACAGCTCTATATGTGAAGAGCAATACCTTGAATTGGGTTCTGAGATGGACAGGGAGCCAGTGCCGGGCAGAAAGGATCGGAGTGATGTGGCATGTTTTTTTGGACCGAGTGAGCAATCTGGCTGCAGCATTTTGGACCTGTTGTAGCCGGTTTCTCGATGTTTTGTTGAGGCAGGAAAAAAGAGCATTGCGATAATCAAGCCGGGATGAAATAAAGGCGTGGATAGCCATCTCCATTTCTGCATTGGATATAGAGGGGCTAAAATACCTCGCCACTGGCTCTGTTTATGTTGTAATTACAGCTCAAACCTTTCCTCTGGTTTTCAGTGTTTCACTGACAGTTGGGTCCACCTACTCTTTGTTTACATTAGTAATATGATCTGTATTTTGGGCTGAACTCCATCAGCTTATTATCCAAGACTTTCCACAGTTTATGTGACCTTAAATCTGCAAAGTGAAGCACATTCCACATTCTATTCTTTAGCTGCAGTGGAAAATGCTGGTGATGCAGAGGAGGGGAGTTATAGGACCCTCGTTGATGATTTTGCGCTGTTGTTGCCAATATCAGTACTCTGCGCTGTGTTCAAGCTTCATAAAAACAATGGGACGTCTCACTTCTCATGAATGTGTGTGTCCTACATTTTTTACTTTCTTGCTTATGTACTTACCTTCTTCCTTCCTTACTTCCTTGTTTACTCACTATCTTACTTACTTCGGCCTACTTAATGACTTCCTTACTTACTGACTTACTCACTTCCTTACTTAATGACTTACCTGAAACAGATCCAAAATGTATTCTTTAGTTGCATTGTGTTGAAATGCTGGTGATGCAGAGGAGGGGAGTTATAGGACCCTTGTTGATAATGTTGGCTGTTGTTGCCAATATCAGTACTCTGCGCTGTGTTCAAACTTCATAAAAACAATGGGACGTCTCAGTTCTCATGAATGTGTGTGTCCATTAAATACGTTTTTCTGCTATTTGCTTTTCAGCTTGCGCATTTATCCTGTTGTTTTCTCTCTGATCATTTACATTGGTGGACTGCAACTAAGTCAATATATTCAAATAGTGTAGTTTGAGTTACTTGTATCTACTCTACTAGATCATATTTTGATTTCCTGCAACTTTATTCCTCCATTCCAGAGGGAAATATTGCACTTTTTTCCCTCACTAAATTTATTTGACTTGACTTTCTTCATTTTTTACTTTCTTACTTATGTACTTACCTTCTTCATTCCTTACTGGCTTGCTTATACTTACTTCCTTTCTTCCTTGTTGACTTTCTTACTTACTGACTTATTGACTTTCTTACTTACTTCCTTGTTTACTTAATTACTTAGTCACTTTCTTACTTACTTAATGACTTTCTTACTTACTGACTTACTTCCTTGTTTACTTTCTTTCTTACTGACTTCCTTTCTTTCTTACTCACTTACCTACTTACTTAAAACCGATACAAAATGTATTCTTTAACTGCATTGTGTTGAAATGCTGGTGATGCAGAGGAGGGGAGTTAAGGGACCCTTGTTATATCAGTACTCTGCGCTGTGTTCAAGCTTCCTAAAAACAATGGGTCGTCTCAGTTCTCTCCTCAGCTCTGGAGACTGTGCATGCGGAACTTTTTGGGCCTTATCTATACGCGTGTCCTCGTAGCATAACCCCTTCTGTATATCCTCACATGACCACGGTTTACCTGTGCGAGGACCAAAGCTATTCAGTTTTATGTTTATCACAAAGTCTTGAGGCGATGCAGAGGGGGAGTATAACCGTGCAGCTTGGAAAATATGCACATTCCAGAAAATCTATACATACTTTTGAATGTTTGTGTTTTTTCCCCATTTGTCTGTTTCCTGCAGCTGTCCTCGTGCGGTTCCTGACCCGGCGCTTCATCGGGGAATATGCCTCCAACGCCAGTGAGTGTTTGGAGAGATTGAGGTTTAATTAGGGTTTTTTAAATTTTGGACTTGGAGAGCAGAGTTTATCCCCAGATATTATGGTTGTTTGCCATTTAGTCATTCAGAGGTGCATGCATATATTCCACATGAGCAATTATCAATCAAGGACAACTTCTGTATGCATGCATAATCAAAGGGAATACAGCAGTTAGAACATTTAAATAGTATTAAAGGTCCCCTATTATACTGTTTTTCATCACTATATCACAGGTCTCAGTTATATACAAAACATGTCTCTGAAGTGTTTGGCTCCAAACACCAAACAGATCATTGCAGCATTACCCATAATCCCCTCTGTTTCAGCCCTGTTTCCAAAGTGCTGATTCTCTGTCTGTTACTTTAGATGAAAATAAGGAGCCCCTCCCCACGCCCCTCTGAGAGAGATTTGGTTACAAAGAACACAATGGTGCTCTAGGAGGAGATCCAGGTGATAAGGTGGGGGGGGGTTACCTTGGTTGGTGATTGGCTAATGGTTACACAAGACAAACGTTATGACATCATAAAGTGGCCAAAATATGATCAGCTAATTTTCAGACAGGTTTTTATAGAAATGGATCAGGACAAAAAGAGAGAGAATCTTTTTTCCTTAAACTTTGAACAAGTGGATTTTGCATAATAGGTCCCCTTTAATATGCGATTTTAAAGGGGGATGTGAACAAAAACCGTATTTAATTTTGTCTAAATTTATATTATTTAATGTCATATTCTGTTCTTGTACATATCCTATTGACATGTATATAGACGTTTGCCACTACTTTTTATCTTGTATTTTATTATATATGTTGCATTGTTGGAGGAGTTCAGGTCAGAAGAATTTCATTACCATTTCTACACTGTAGCTTATATACATCATATGACAATAAAACCTTTGAATCTTGAAAACAGTGAAACTGACAAGTCAAAACAAGTCAAAAGATGGTAAAACGCTGTGTAGAAATCAGGTAAACTGCAGGTACATGATGACGTGTGATTAATTATGTGCGGTTCTGTCTATTTAAGCAATAATATACAAACAAACATTTGATAATGAAAAGAGGTAAAGAACAGCAGTAGCTATAGCATATACAAATACAACACACAAGGAGTTTAGATTGTTGTACCTTCAATCAATATTTAAGTCTATTGACATTACTCTGTTATTCATTTTGTTTCTGTATTAGATTAGATTACTTTATTGTCATTACATAATGCAAGAAGAGTGTAACGAAATTAAGAGGGTCTAACCAGAGTGCAAACAGTCAGTTATATACACATCTATCAGCAGTCTGTACAAAATAAATGCACTATACAAATATACTGTATGATCCTTGTTACAGATTCCCTGTACCATAAAAGGCTCTCGATTGATGGGCGACAGCTGAATCTGGAGGTGTTTGACCCCTGCTCTCAGGTACAACACATCAACAACACGTCAACAACACCTGATATTGGTTACTGGATTCAAACCTGAGTTGCAGTTCATTAGAAATATCCATCCATATGAAAGTTACATTTCCAATTAAAACCCTCCTATTGTCTTCGTTTTCCCCCCTTATTTTGATATTGCGCAAGAATTTGAAAATACACAACCGGAAAAAATCTGCCACTTCCTTACAGAGCCCCTCCTCCAACACACACGAACGCGCACATGTCCAATGAGGGCACGAGATAAGTTTGTGCCCAGATGGAAGGCTGACAGGCAGGTAGGCCATCCAGTTACTTTAGCCGGGCCGGCTCAGATGATTGGTCGTGCTTTTTGCTACGGCTTCCACTGATGCATTTTTTTTATGGATTTGTTGTCAAAGCACTTCAGATATTCATTGCTATCGGGATGTTAAGAGCATTCCATGGAATATAACAAAACGTGTATCTCCAGCCGGTTTCTCAAACTTACCTACCCCCGTGACCTTTAAGGTGATCAGAAAAATCTGTTATTATATCTGTTAGGGAATAATTATCTTAGGTATTCAACCTTCGACCCAGTTCATCGTTTTTCTCTCCTTTCTCACGACATAGGTCTACGGCCTTGGGTATTGCTGCTATCTCTCTTAAGGAGGGGCAGCTTGGGCGCATTGTTGTTGCCAGTCTATGACAGAGCACAAGCCGCCATGAGGTAGTTTACTGTTCAGGAACGTAGCTTCCCTAGCGCACATTCTTTCCTCTGGACGAGAGCTCTAGTTAGATTCAGGGTCCATAATTGTTTAGTCTCACTGATAAAGAATGTTGATTATTACACTCCGAAATAGTTAAAACCTCGAGCTGCAACTCGTGACACACCACCTGTCTTGTCAATTCTCCGGTCGTAACTCCAAATAAACCGTCAGTGTTTGCCATCAAAGCTCCAGCTCTCCTCGTGTCTCTCTGAGTCCTCACTCCATATTTACAGAAGTTTCCCCCACAATATCTGTATTAGCTTGTTTTATGTTTATTTTATTCCATTAGATTTCTAATGACTGTTTTAAAATGCCATTTTAAAATGTGTTTCTGCTGCACTATTTTAACATTTTCGTAAAGCACTTTGAATTGCCTTTTGTTTAAAAGGTGCTATATCAATAAACTTGCCTTGGCTTGAGAATTATCCCTGGAAAAAGTGGGACACAGTGAGAATTCCCTCTTGGATCTATAGTTAGTTAGTTTCCACTGAAATGGCAAAAAGTAAACGACATTAGCTTCATCTATGTTTCTCTCTGGTTGAATCTGTCCCAGTCAAAACAGGCCTTACAGAAAGACATACTTCCCTGAATTAAAGAGACTTACCAAAATAAAGCGTGGTTTCTGTTGGCAGAGCTCGGAGGCCAGGTGCATCCTGGAGGAGCCGGTGGATTGGGCCGATGGCTTCGTGGTGGTTTACAACATCAGCGACCGCTCCTCCTTCATCGACGCCAAGAACATCCTGTTGCAGATCCGAGAGGCGCGCATGGAAAACTGCAAAGGGTGAGAAGAAGCACAATGAGGGTATTCTACTTTGAAGTAGACAGAATGTTAGGGTTGAGCAGCGCAGGTAGGACCCAATTGCAGGACGGCACATTTTTTAAACTGAAATATCTTTAATTCAACGCTAACAAGAACAGTACTCACTCCCTTGTATGGACAAAAACAACAATCAGACCTCTCTCTCCCGTGCGAAAGACTGAAAGAACCCACACAGAATACCAGAACTTAAATAAATACAAGACCAGTCAAGAAGAAAGGACACAGCTGGGGAGGGAAAACACAAAGGTGAACAGAATCAGATAATCAGACATGAGGGAAAACACAGAGACAGGAAGCATATACAGACATGAGACAGACACTTCAAAATAAAACAGAATATAAACAGATCATGACACAGAAGATGTGCTGGATTTTAGAAAGTTGAGACCTGGTGGATCAGAGCAGCTGATGACCTGTTATTTTAAATATATAAAAATGGAGCCGCTCCAACGCTCCAATAACAAGGTTTCATGCACTTTATACTTTTTCTCATCACACCGTCTTGCTTTCCATATCGCACAATTTCTTACACTTTTTCATGCTGGCAGGGGCGCCGTAAGGGGGTGAAAAGTTAGGACGATTCTAAGGGCCCATGACTGACAGGGGCCCAAACTATTTTAGAACATTAAGAAAAAAATGTTTAAGTACTACTACTACTACTACTACTACTACTACTACTACTACTACTACTACTACTACTACTACTACTACTACTACTACTACTACTACTACTACTACTACTACTACTACTACTACTACTACTACTACTACTACTACTACTACTACTACTACTACGACTGTTGGGGAAGTATTTTCCAAGGCCCATAACTTTGACCCAGTTTATCAGTCCATACTGTCCTGACTGAGCACACGCACCTGTAACCTTGGCTGCTGTACTCTCGGTGTTTTGTCTCCCTGTTCCTGCCTGTTGGCGTCAGCTGATAGAGGTGTTATGATTCTATCTTGTTATGCACAATGTTGATTATTCTCTCTGAGCTAAATACATGGGTCTGGGGTAGAGTTCTTCAGAATTGACGTGGCAACTCTACCGTGGAGTCAGAACCTCTGACTCTGGACTTGTTTTGTGAATTCTCCGGCCGAAGCTCAAAATAAACCCATCAGTGTTTGACATCAAAGCTCCAGCTCTCCCTGTGTCTCCTTTTGAGTCGGTGACTCCTCCTGCATTGCTACACAGAAGTTTCCCCCACAACAACAACTAATAATAATAATAATAATAATGGAAAAAATATATACCAGATAATGAAATAATGAAATGTAAAGATTACAATTAAAGGTGGGCTAGGTAATTTTGGAGGAACCAGCTCGAGTGCGCTAGAATTTGAAAATACACAGCCGGAAAAAATCTCCTACTTCCTTACAGAGCCCCTCCTCCAACACACACGAACGCTCACATGACCAATGAGGGCACGAGATAAGTTTGTGCACAGATGGAAGGCTGACAGGCAGGTAGGCCATCCAGTTACTTTAGCCGGCTCAGATGATTGGTCGTGCTTTTTACAGCGCCACGGCTTCCACAGATGATAATGGATTTTTTGTCAAAGCACTTAAGATATTCATTGCTATCGGGATGTTAATTGTTATTAATGTTAATAATGGGATGTTATTCCATGGAATATAACAAAAAGTGTATCTCGAGCCGGTTTCTCAAACTTACCTACCCCACCTTTAAGAAAATAGAAACTAAATGCCACAAGACTGTTAAACACCTGAACTTTTGAAAGAACATCAATAACATTCATCTGTTTGCAATTTATATATATATCAATATTCCAATCACTTAGACTATCCTGCACTATTTCTATTTTATTGTATTAACTTGCACTATTATCTGTTTTATTGTGTTGTAATGTTGGAGGAGCCTGTGACCTAAGATTTTCATTGTCATATCTACACTGCAGCTATGTACAAATGACAATAAAAGCTTTGAATCTTGAATCTTGAACATGTCTCCATGTCTGTGCTGCAGGGAGGTGGAGGTCCCGGTGTGTCTGGTGGGGAACAAGCAGGACTTGTGTCACGCCCGGCAGGTGTGTGAGGCGGAGGGCCGCTGCCTTGCTCAGGAGCACCGCTGCCACTTCCAGGAGGTGTCGGCGGCCGAGAGCTACCAGGACATCTCTGCGCTCTTCACACAACTCATCCGACAGGTGATGGAGCTCCTGAAGTACAGAGCCGACCGGCGGCGCTACAGCGGCTCCAAGTCCATGGCCAAGCTCATCAACAACGTGTTCGGCAAGAGGAGGAAGTCAGTGTGAGCGGAAGGAAGCAAGGAGGGTGTGTGAGGAGACGTGTTAAAGGGAAGGTGTTCAAATCTCACTCGTCACCGGCTTGAGCTTCAATCTCAGGATCCATGTATTTGTGATCCTCTCCAGAATGGAAGTAGTCATCACATACAGAGCATCAACTAGTTCCTGAACAGTGTCCTTCACATGCTGATATCCAAGAGAGGGAGTTACACAGTCACAAGATGGAGGAATAGAAAGCAGTATTCAATGTTTAGTTCAGATTAGCTCCACGTCAGAAATGAGCATGCTTGATGTCTATCTCCATAGAGGCTGAATCATCATGTTAATCACATAGCTATCATATGCCTCAAACAGTCCTGATGCTCTTCTAGGTAATCACACATCCTGTCATGTTCACAGCTACAGTTGGGATACCTTTGTTATCATGTCACTCTGATATTAGAAGAGTACATTCAGTATTTTCACAACAAAAGGATTCAAGGATTTTATTGTCACTTGTACATTAGCTACAGTGTAGACATGTCAATGAAAATCTTAGGTGCAACACAATAAAACAGACAAAATAGTTCAAATAGTGCAAGTACTACAAATAAAATAGAATAGAAATAGTGCAATATTAGATAAATAATGTGTAAGTTGCAGACAGATGAATGTTATGGATGTCCTTTCACAAGTGCAGGTGTTTAACGGTCTTATGTGGGATGAAACTGAGTCTGGTGGTTTTAGACCGGATGCCGCGGTACCTGAACTGGACAATGATGGGTCTGAAAACGTGCTCTTCCTATACGTTCATTTCTCCTCAAGGTCACTAAGAGGTCGATGCAAGGTGATGCAAGGCAATGCAAGGCAATGCAAGGCAAGGCAAGGCAAGGCAAGGCAAGTTTATTTATACAGCACTTTTCAACACAAGGCAATTCGAAGTGCTTTATAAAAATGAAAGACATTAAGAGCATAAAACACATTAGAAACATTAAAACGTAAAGATAATAAAACATGAATACACAGGTACATGAATAAAAGTTACAGTGCAGTGTGAGATGTGAATAGTTCAATTAAAAGTAGTGGCAAAAAGAAAGTCTCCAGCCTGGATTTAAAGGTAACACTTTACGGTAAGGGTACATGAATCATCATGACTTAATGCATGAAAAAGCATGAATTCATTCATGTAGTGCTCATGAACTATCAGTAATGTACAGGTATTAATGGTATCTCATGCATGACTTAATGCAGGAACAATACCTTAATTAATGCATCAACTAAGGTACCTCAATCATCATGACTTTTGAGTTATTAATGATGTTCATGTCTTCTTCATATAGATCTGCAGTTAAAGTAACAGGCCAAAAAGCTGACCCGTCACAGCAATGCTAAGTGTTGTAATCATGATTAACTAAGCATGACTTTGTCATCACTTCATCATGTTTGTGCCCCTTCAAATAAAGTGGTGACCCGGTCGGTCGGTCGGTCATAGCAGTGCATGTATTCTGTTGAATTCAAAGTGTTGACCCCAACCCTGTTCAGTGTGTTGACCATTAATCATATGTTGGTTATCAGTGTAAACGATGGACCGGGTCACCACTTTATTTGAAGGGGCACAAACATGATGAAGTGATGACAAAGTCATGCTTAGTTAATCATGATTACAACACTTAGCATTGCTGTGACGGGTCAGCTTTTTGGCCTGTCACTTTAACTGCAGATCTATATGAAGAAGACATGAACATCATTAATAACTCAGAAGTCATGATGATTGAGGTACCTTAGTTGATGCATTAATTAAGGTATTGTTCCTGCATTAAGTCATGCATGAGATACCATTAATACCTGTACATTACTGATAGTTCATGAGTACTACATGAATGAATTCAATGCTTTTTCATGCATGAATTCATGATGATTCATGTACCCTTACCGTAAAGTGTTACCGATTTAAAAGTAGTCAGAGTTGTAGTGGAGCTGCAGGTTTCTGGTAGTTCGTTCCAGATATTTGACAATACCCCAAACCAAATTCTCACATTCCTCTACCCCAAGTCTTCCCGTGAAATTAAAGTTCCTTTGACACTTTTTCTAACCTTTTTATATTCCTTTCATCCATTTTGCATCCCCAGACAACACATGTTCCGGTTTTACTGTTACCCGAACCCATCTTTGACCTTTAAACCACTTTTCTTTTCAATTCCCAGAATTAGGATATTTAAACCTGTAATGTAAGGGATAATGTGCAGCGAGCAGGATCCCGACACAAGGCCGAGGGATCTTCACTCGCTGTTCCCGGTAGTGTTTACTTGACTGTTGATTTCCCTGATGTACAGCACTCTGTCTTTTTAACCTCTTCCTTTCCTCTTGCACTGTTTTCTTTTTCTCTACTGGGGGCACTTTAGCCTACTTCAATCCAAAGCTTTGGGCGCTCCACAAATAAAAAAGTAAATATTAGAAATAGCCTTACAGTGATTTCTGAAGGAGGAATTTATGGTTTTTTGGTAACGTTGTGGTTAACTTCTCTCTGCACAGTTCACTGGTCCTCTTTACAAGGGCTGCTAGAGAAGAGAGAAGAATACACCATGTTCAAAATGGACCAATCAGCATTGAGTATTCATCCAAGCCATGTATTAATGTGTGTTTGATGTTTTTGCTCCTATCCAACCTAATTCATCTTAATTAAAAAAGAAAATTATGCATTTCAAGCCATTTTTTCCTATTTTGAAGTCTACTTATAGTGATCAATAGTTCATCACAACAGATGTGTGTTACTTTTCTTGTAATTTAAGCATCTCTTACATCGGTAAAAGCAAAAGTACCTTTATTGTTTAACTCCTATATAATTTCTGCGTTGCAACTTTGGCTTCAGTTCTGTGTTTTTGTGCAGCAGTTTCACATCATTTTACGAGGGAAATAACCTGTTCTTTACCTTTTCATTTTTATATTCATTGTAATGCTACTCTTTAAAAACCATAGTGTTTATTTATGGTCTGTTTAGTTTAAAATATAATACTCTCTCTCTGTCACTTTCTCTGTTAAATTGCAGTATGCCATATCATTTACAATAATGTATCTGATGAGATGTATTGTACTTTTGAGCATTATTGTATTTATTTGATGTTCTCCCAGGATCAAAGTATTGGAATATATTGATGTGAGTCCACACATTTCAAACTGTATAATAAGACACTTTTTACAAACACCAAATAAGGGCCAACTCTCTTAATGCTTTTCTGTTATTCTTCCTAAATCTGTTTATTTCACCATGATGCTGTAACACAAAGAACACGTGCCACCCATCGAGAAAAATACCTCCCAGTTTGCAGTGTTTTGCAGACGAATGTTCCTTTTGTAAATACTGTAAAAACATCAGCTGTTCCAGAGGAAATTAAAGCTAAACATTGATTAATAAGAGATCTGTTTTAGTTCTTCACTTTGAGCTCAACTTTAATGAAATGACCGTCAGGGAGGCTTCCTCTAAAGCCTCCGGGAAGGAGAGAGGAATTTCCTGTGTGTCGCTGCTATAGATAGCTGGAGGAGTGAGAAATGAACCATTATTAAACTGAAACGTGACCTCCAACCAATGGAAATGTTCCTAAAGTATCCACAAGATGGCACCACCAAACAACATAGAAAGAGGCTTCCCCCCCCCCCCCCCCCCTGTGTGTTTAATGATTTCCTGCTCCTGGGAACTGACCCATTACACACTGAATCAATTACAATTAGAAAGTGAGCACTCACAATGAGCAAAATGTGAAATCACGGTTTTTTATGTCTTACTATTCATTGACCTCCTTGACCTCCATGCAGGCATTTATCTTCATCATGTTTCCCACTTTGACTTTTTTTACTAGGTAATACTGTATGTATGGAGAAACACAGCTTTCATCTCTTTCTATTTAACCTTAATTTAATCAAGGAATTCTTAAAAAGGGATATCTGGTAGACAAAGCTCCAGGAGCGTTTTATTAATGAAATTAAAACGTTAAAACAAAACAACATTTTGCATTTACGTGTGGATCAAAAGTGTGTATGTAGAAAAGTATGTATATATTCTCCTCGTTTCTTTTGTATTATTTGTTATGTAATCAAGGGGCTCAGCCTGCAGAGGGTTGTCACTTAAAGGTAGGGTATGTAATTTTGTAGAAACCAGCTCGAGTGCGCTAGAATGTGAAAGTACACAGCCGGAAAACATCTGCCCTTCCTTCAGACTTCCTTACAGAGCCCCTCCTCCAACACTTTAGCCGGGCCGGCTCAGATGATTGGTCGTGCTTTTTACAGCACTACGGCTTCCACAGATGACATTTTGTTATGTATTTTTTGTCAAAGCATTTAAGATATTCATTGCTATCGGGATGTTAAGAGCATTCCATGGAATATAACAAAAAGTGTATCTGAAGTGAATTACATACCCCACCTTTAAAGTCACGTTCAGACCTGTTATTGTGTACACACACACATTACAAATACACACATGCACAAGAGCTATACAGAAATGTACCAACACACAGATGTATGTATATAGAGGTGTCAGAGTGAAGAGGGCAAGGTTTAGGGAGCAGCTGGGGGTTAAATGTCTTGCTCAACGACACCTCTGATTGGTCCAATCGGGACTGGAACTACAGTAGCAACCCTTCATTTCCCAAGCCAAGTCCCTACACACTAAGCTAACCTCCTGGGCACTGTCAAGGCATCCTTGAGCAAGGCACCAAACCCCAACATATGGGGTCTGGCTCCGTGGGTTAGTGCGCTGATCCTCAAATCAGATGATAGCAAGTTTGAGTCCCACTGCAGTCAGCATGTCGTTGTGTCCCTGAGACACTTCACCCCAAATTGCTCCTGTGGGGATTGTCCACAGTATCCTGAGTATGTGAGTCGCTTTGGATAAAAGCGTCTAACAAGTGACATGTAATAATGTAATGTATACTAGGCCTAAGTCAACAACTGAATTTCCTCTAGTGCGGTTAATTAAGTGGCTTCTTATTTTTTAATGAATAATTGTACTATTGACATTTTAAGTAGGCTACACTTTGCTTTAAATGTAGCAACCTTTTGAACTAAGAACTACTTGTGGGGGAGTATTTTTAACTCTAGTATAGTACTTTTACTAGGAGAAAAACCACTTATTCTACAATGTCTACAAAATGCTCTTTGTAAAAACT